TTTCTACTGCTGTAAAAGACCATTGAAGACTGGGTAATTTACTATAAAATTTTATTTTGCTTATAGCTCTAGAGGCTGGGAAGTCTAAGGGCATGCATGGTGCAAACCTCTGGTGAGGGTAATCCCATGGAGGAAGGTGGAAGTGAGTGCACAAAGCAAAGAGAGAGAGATGGGGCCAAATTTATTCTTTTATCAGGAGTCCACTCCTGTGATAACTAACCCTCTCCAATGATAATAACATTCATCCATTCATGCAGGTAGGGGTGTCCCGATGTAATTACCTCTTGAATTACCTCTGGAAGGTTCCACCTCTTAATACTGTTACAATGGCAATTAAGTTGTCACATGAGTTTTAGAGGGGACATTGAAACCATAGCATTTCATCCACAGCCCTCCAAAACTCATGTTCTTCTCACATACAAAATGCAATAATTCTGTCTCAATAGCCTCAAAGTCTTTACCCATTCCAGCATCGACTCTAAAGTCCTAAGTCCAGAGTCACATCAGAAGCAGATATGGATGAGACTCAAGGTATGATTTATCGGGAGGCAAATGTTTCCAGCTGTGAGTCTGTGAAATCAAATGATTTGTCTTCAAAATATAATGGTGGGACAGGTACAGAATAGACTCTCTCAGTTCAAAAGAAAGAACTAGGCAAGAAAAAGGCATAACTGGTTTCAAGTGAGTCCAAAACCCAACAGAGAAGACAGCCTTAAGTTTTAAATCTGGAGAATAATTTCCTTTGACTCCATGTCCTGAATCCTGGGAATGCTGACTGGGGCCCTCAAACAGCCCTGCTTGCATATCTTTGCTGGGCTCAGTCCGTGCTTCAGCTCTGTTAGGTTGGAGTTGCATGCTAGTGGTCCTATAGTTCTGAGATCTCAAAGGTAGCCTCACTCCCATGGCTCCACCAGGCATATCCCTAACTGTGACTCTCTGTGTTGGCTCTGACCCCATATTTCCACTCAGCATTGCCCTGATGGTGGCTCTTTGAAGTGACTCCACTCCCATAGCTGTTTGTGACATCCTTTGATCCTAGGTGGAGAAAGCCATGCCCCTACAGCCCTTGCAGTCTGTGAGCCTGTAACACCACATGGTTAACACCACATGGTTGCCATTGAGGTTGACAGCTTGTACTTTTTGCACTATAATAGTGGCTGTGGAGCTGGGGTCCTAGGCTCAGGGTCTTGCAAAACTCCTGTGGCAGAGGTTCACTCACCGAGGCATGGGTGGATGCAGATTACCCACAAAGATGAGGCTGTGACTCTGAGGCATACCTCAGCAACTCAAGCCCATGGGGCAGGGATGGAACAGTTACTGATTCTGGGGTCAGTGTACAACACCAGCATGGCTCCAGGGCAAGAGGGGTGCTCTGGAGGCTTGAGCTCTGGGGAGCAGGTTACAGCTGAAATTTTGGTTCCAGAGCCAATAGGACACTGCAGCAACTCCAACCCTGGGGGACGGAGTGCCACATAGTGGTAACTCTAGACCCTGAGATGGTAGGGCATGGCAATATCTCAGGCTGTGTAAGGCTGGATGTAGCAGCAGCAAGGCCTCAGGAATGACTAGGCCTGTCTGTGGCTTCGTCCTTGGGTTTTTTGAAGCAGTACAGAAATGACCCCCTGGAGAGCCAGGGTTTCTCAGAAGCTTGGACTCCAGGGAATTAGTCAGTTCCAGGGAGATGGGGCACTGCAGTTATTCTGCCTGGATTGTTGGGTGACACAGCTCAATCAAAGCTATGTGTCCTCAGAGAGTGGGACACAGTTTCAGCTTGAGTTTGGAGGGGCAGAGTGCACCAGCGACTAAGATGGGGGCATGGAGCAGTTCCATGGCAGCCTGGCCTCGGCAGGTAGAGAGTGGACAGCAACAGTTTGGCTTAGGTATGGCTACCAGGTGTGTGTGGTATAGTGGTGGTTAAGCCTCAGAGATGGAGGGGTGCAAATGGCTACTCATTCCTGAAGCAGAATGCACTCTAGCAGTGATTCACTTCCAAGAAGGGGCAGTACAGTAGCAGTTCAGGCCATGGAGGCCAGGGCACAGTGTCAGTGCCGCCTCTGGAATAGGACAGACACGTGGACTTCAGGTAGCTCCATCAGCTGAACTCAGAGCCTGTGAAGACTCTAAGTGTCTCCAGCAGTAAGATTGCAGGTGTCCATGGTGTTGATGGGAGCTGCTGAGGTCCTCTCAGTTACCTTTTCCCTGCAGGAAGAAGGCCCTCCTGACTCAGAGCTGGTCCTAACTGGGGGAAAGGTGGTGGAAGAAAGGTGTTTTGTCTACTCCTTCATGCAGCCATCCTGGGTTTCTATGATCTACAAGATTTCTGCTACTCCTTTGGTGTTTTCAAGTGCTCTTCTTTAATTATTTTGGTTGGAATGCAGTTGTTTATTCATTGTTTTGGGGAGTGTGTGTGTGTATGTGTGTGTGTGTATTGATGATGATGAGGGTTAGGAACTTCTAGTTGGCCTTCTTGGTGACATTCTTTAGAATTCTAATCAGACATATTCTAGACCTTTTAATTCTACACTTCTAATCTTTTAACCTCTCTTCTATTACGACCATTTTCTTGTTTCTCTACAGAATTCTTGGTGATTTCTTCAAATTTTTCTTCCAGTTGACTAATTCTATTTTCAGCTATTCCTTGTTATTTAACACATTGACCAATTGTTTTCTGTCAACACTATTTTATATTCGAAATTTATTTGAGATTATGTGCCAAATATGTCCTGTCACTCTATGTGCTTTATCTTTGACTTCATTTTTGTGATTTAATTTTCATTTAAATAAGTTATCTGTACTCTTTACATATTCTATATTTGATATATAAACAGGTGCTCCTAATCTGTGGGACTTCTTGGAGGCTTGTATCAAGGATATCTACTTCCCTCTTTATGGACTCCAATGTAGGACTTATTCAGAGACTGATTGCTTTCTAAATATGTGGCTTTTTGGTGGGATTTCTCCTTTACTACAGACTTTGATGATTCTCAGAACTATACTTTTCCAGGGAAGTGATCGTTATCAACTGATGTATTTAATTCCCAGGATTGTAAACAGTAATTTATGTTGTATACCTCGGGGGGCCTCTCGTCTTTGAAATCTGTGGCCATGGTGTCTTGTTTCTTTCATACTCTCGCTACACTTCTCTCCAAGTGTATCCTCATGTAATCTTTGTTTTTAACACTCATTTCACCTGATTTATAGAAATGTTAGTTGTTTCACACTTTCATAAAAAAGTGGAGTTCTAATTCTGTTTGTCCAAATTGTTTTCGGAACTTTTCTAAAAGTGATAAGAGTAAGAACATTGACTTTTTGGTTACATTCTTATATTTAATTCGTTATCTTAACTACTTCAATCATATTTACATTATATATTTCTTATTTATTATATTTGTCTTTCTTTTTTAAAAGAAATACTTATTTTATAATTTGTAATTTGTAATTTATAATTTGTAATTTTGTACTTTTAATTTTACTGTTTTCCATAATTTTAAGTATATACATTACTAAAGTTAAATTCATGTTCTAAATGATTAATCTTTTCATTTTAACGTTTCTCCTCTATCTTTCTCTGAAATTCACTCTCCTTCTTCTGACTTTAATCAGTTTTTTTGTTAGATAGCTAATAATTTATTTCCTTTGATGTATTAAAAATAAATACAAGATGATAATTTTTTCAGAGAAATCTTAATGTTTTTCTCAACATAGTAAATTTGGAGTACAACAATTTTTTTTTCATTTATGTTACCAATAAAAGGGCACACATCTCCAAACTTGAGACATTTTTAGGGGTTCAATGAAGCATAAATGATATCAAAATTAACTATTACTTGAAGGATATTAGCAAGCTTCATTTTCCTAAAAATGTATGGAAGTGGATCATGAAACACCTGAATATGAATTCAAATACATAGATAAAAATTTCCATGTGGCTTTAGCCTATCTCGACATGACTTGGTTGGAGTTATTACATGGAGGACAGAAAGAAGTATAAGAATGATATGTTTGTGCTTAGATTCTCAAAAAATGATTTGATGGGTCCTTGCTATGTACCAGCAAGTTAGGATTTAAAGCAATGTAATAGGACAAGAGATTTAGATTTGTGGTGCCAAGAATATGACTCAGAGCCATTAGTTTCATTACCAAATTCCAGAGTTTGTGGGACAAAATACAAGATTACATAAGTCACACTCAGCAAGGATGAACATGGGAAGATTTTTCAGCCCTGTGAATTTAACTGTGCTCTGATTAGAAAAGGAGGAACTATACAATACTATACAATAAATTGGAAGGCAGATGAGTTTGTGTAGTTTATTACTATTATAAAAGTAATCCTTTGGCCGGGCACAGTGGCTTACACCTGTAATCCCAGCACTTTGGGAGGCCAAGGTGGGCGGATCACAAGGGCAGGAGATCGAGACCATCCTGGCCAACATGGGGAAACCCTGTCTCTACTAAAAATACAAAAATAGTTGTGCATGGTGGCGTGTGCCTGTAGTAACAGCTACTCAGGAGGCTGAGGCAAGAGAATCATTTGAACACAGGAGGCAAAGGTTGAAGTGCGACGAGATCGTGCCACTGCATTCCAGCCTGGCAATAGAATGATACTTCATCTCAAAAAAAAAAAAAGTAATCCTTCGTGGGGAAGTGGCTGTAATCAAGGGACTAGGCAGTAAGAGGGATAGAAATAAAATCTGAGAAGACTTGGAATGGAACTTAAATACATTTCTCTAATTTTAGAGGTCCAACAGGTTTACCTTGCTTCTGTCAACATGTCCCTCTCTGCTGGACTTTCTAGCATCTTGATATCATATGACATTTAGTTTTCCCCCTGCCCCACCCTTAATGTGTTGCCTATTCCACTTCCCCGGCTCTAACAGCTATTATGATATGGGAAGGGAATGTAGACCAGATTTTGTCCTTTGGGAGGAACCTGCCCCAAAGTGTCATGTCCTCCTTTGTCATTTCCGGGACATCATACTAAATTACATTTCTTATTGTAGCACCTTTTCTGCTGCCATGACAACCATGCAAGGAATGGAACAGGCCATGCCAGGGGCTGGCCCTGGTGTGCCCCAGCTGGGAAACATGGCTGTCGTACATTCACATCTGTGGAAAGGATTGCAAGAGAAGTTCTTGAAGGGGGAACCCAAAGTCCTTGGGGTAAGTTGCAAATCTAGGGGAAGACCAATGGTGTTGTAAACTCATATTTCATAAGACCTAATGCCAAATACACTGTCCCACTAACCTCATAATATAACAGCCAACCCTTGCAACATCAGTATTTACTTTTCACGCTCTTCATCTGAAAAACTATATAGTATTCTATCACAACGTGCTTCCAGTTGAGTTATATTTGAAATATATTGACTTCAGATCTATTCTAGGGTTGTGGGTCATCCATGATAATTGTATTTAAACTCAGCATGGAAGAGCAGCAAAATAAAAGGCCACCTATGCACTACTAGCTGACGTCCCCTTTATAGGCCTTCCTGAATAGCTGACAGATGCATATTGCTACTATTTCTTTCCAGCACCTTTTCTTAGCCCCCTGCTCAGAGGATGAAAAATCTATTCTCTGAGCATTTCTATCTGGAGTCTCAGATGAGCATGCCTAAAAGAAATGAAGGATTAAAAGAATGACAGAATAGGGCAGGTGAAAGGACATTAAATATAGGTTTATCACTAGCCCAAGTTTCAAATGGGAAAATGTCACTATGGATATTTTGGACCCTTTTTTCACATTATTCATTTTTTGGAGGGTGGGGGGGAAATATAGCTATTTCTCATAAAATATGTTATTTATGTTGGCACACACTGGGTTTATCTATTTATTTATTTATTTTTCCATTTTGAGATGGAGTCTCGCTCTGTCACCCAGGCTGGAGTGCAGTGGTACAATCTTGGCTCACTGCAAACTCCGTTTTCCGGGTTCAAGCAAGTCTCCTGCCTCAGCCTCCTGAGTAGTTAGGGATTACAGGCATGAGCTACCACGCGCAGCTAATTTTTGTATTTTTAGTAGAGACGGAGTTTCACTATGTTGGTCAGGCTGGTCTCGAACTCCTGACCTCATGATCTGCCCGCCTCGGCCTCCCAAAGTGGGTTTATTTTTTAATGTATGAATAATTATTTAAAAATATACTGTACGTTTTAGAGAAGTTTTAGGCTTAAAGAAAAATTGAGAACAAAGTACAGGTATATCCCATATGCCCCTTGCTCCCACACATGCATAGCTTTTTAATTATCAGCCTCCCACCAGAGTGTAACCTTTGTACCAACTGATGAACTACCTTGACACATCATTACTAAAAGTACACAAATCACACTGGGGTTCATTCTCTGTGTTGTGTGTTCTATGGGTTTTAACAAAGGTATAGCGACATGAATCTACCTTTATAGTATCACATAGTATCCCACCAATCCCTGGCAACCACTAATCTTTTATTGTCTTCATAGTTTGCCTTTTCCAGAAAGTCAAACAGTTGGAATTGTACAATAGGTGTTTTTTTTTGTTTGTTTTTTTGTTTGTTTTTTTGTTTTAGGTTGCATTCCTTCACCTAAAAACATGCATTTAAATTTCCTCCATGTTTTCTTATGACTTGATAGTTCATTTACTTTTAGTACTGAATAATATTTCATTGTCTAGAGGTACCACAGTTTATTTATGCATTCACCTACAAAGGACATCTTGATGGCTTCCAAACTTTGGCTATTAGGAGTAACGTTGCTATAAATATCTGTGTGGCAGGTTATGTGTGGATGTAAGTTTTCAACTCATTTGGGTCAGTATGATTACTATATTGTAGGTAATAGTATGTTTAGTTTTGTAAGAAACTGCCATACTGTCTTCCATGTGGCTTTGTCATTTTGAATATTTCAATCAACACTCAATGAGTTCCTGCTGTTCTACATAATCTCCAGCAGTTGGTAGTGTCAGTGTTCTGAATTTTTACCATTCTAACAGGTGCTAGTGGACTCTCATTATCATTTTAATTTGCATTTCCCTTGTGACATAAGATGTGGACCATCTTTTCACATGTCTCTTTACCATCTCTATATCTTCTTTCATAAGGTGTCTTGTTAAATTCTTTGGCACATTTTTAAACGAGGATGTTTATGTTCTTATTGTTAAGTTCTAAGTTTGTTATATATTTTGGATAACGATCCTTTGTCAGATATGACTCTTGCAAATATCTTCTCCCAGTCTGGTTTGTCTTTTCATCTCTTGACAATGTCTTCTGCAGAGCAGAATTTTTTAATTTTAAGAAAATTAAGATGATTTATTCTGTATTTCATGGTTTGTGCCTTTGGTATTGTATTGACAAATTCATCACCAAACCCAAGGTTATCTAGATTTGGGCCTATGTTCTGTTAGGAGTTTTATAGTTTTTAGTTTAATATTTATGTCTGTGATTCATTTTGAGTTAATTTTTATGAAAGATAAAAGGTATATGTTTAAGTTTTATTTTTACTTATGGATATCAAGTTTTAAGTACTATTTTTTTAAAAGACTATCTTTTTTTTTCATTGTATTACTTTAGCTCATTACCAAAGATCACTTGACTATATTTGTGTGGCTATCTCTAGGCTTTCTACTCTATTACATTGATCTATTTGTCATTTCTTTGCTAACACCACACAGCCCTGATTTATAGTATGTCCTAAAATTGGGTAGTGTTAGTCTTAAAACTCCTTCTTCTTCTTCAAGATTGTGTTTGCTATTCTAAGCTTTTTTGCCATTCCTTATAAATTTTAGAGTCAGTTTATTAATATATACAAAATAACTTGCTAGGGTTTTAATGGAGATTGCATTAAATCTACTGATCAAGTTGGGAAGAACTAACATTTTGACAATGTTGAGTCTTCCTATCCATAGACATGGAATATCTCTCCATTTACTTAGTTAATTATTTTATCAAAGTTTGTAGTTTCTTATAGAGTTTGTACATATTTTGTTAGATTTATATCTAACAAATACCATATACCAATACCTAAATATTTAATTTTTAGAGGTGCTAATTTAAATGGCATTATGTTTTTAATTTCAAATTTCACTTATTCATTATAAGTACATAAGAAAGTAACTGTCTCTTATGTATTAATCTTGTATACTATAAACCTAATATAATCATTTTTTAGTTCCCGGAATTTTTGGTTGATTCTTTCAGATTTTCTACACAGACATCATGTCGTTTGGGAACAAGGCAGTTTTATTTTTCCCTGACCAATCTATATATCTTTATTTCCTTTTTGTGTCTTACTGTTTCTATTATGACTTCCAGTACAATGTTAAAAGGAGTAGTGACAGGGCTCATCCCTGCCTTGTTTTTGATCTTCGTGAGAAAACTTTGAGTTTCTCCATTAAGTATGAAGTTCGCTGTAGGTTTTTATAAATATTCTTTATCAACCTGAAGAAGTTCTCCTCTATTGATAGCTTTTACAAGTGTTTTTATAATAAACAGGCATTGGATTTTGTTCAATATTTTTTCTGCATCTGTTAATACAATCATGTGATTTCTCTTCTTTAGCCTGTTGATGTGATGAATACATTAATCGGTTTTTCAATGTATAGTCAGACTTGCATACCTGGGATAAATCCCAAGTGGTGATGCTACACAATTTTTTTAATGCATTGTTAGATTTAGTTTGCAAATATTTTGTTGAGGATTTTTGCATATTTGTTCATCAAAGATGTTGGTCTGTAGTTTTCTTTTCTTGTAATGTTTTTGCATGGTTTTTTGGTAGATGGTAGTGCTAGCTTCATAGAATTAGTTAAGGAGTATTTCCTCTGTTTCTATTTTCTGTAAATAATTGGTATAATTTATTTCTTAAGTGTCTGGTAGAATTCACCACTGAGCCCTTCTAGGTCTGATGCTTTCTGTTTTGGAAATTTATTAATTATTGATTCAATTTATTTAATAATTATAGACATATTCAGAGTGTCTCCTTCTTCTTGTGTGAGTTCTGACAAATTGTCTTTAAGGGTTACCCATTTTATCAAGGCTATCAAACTGTGGGCGTAGAATTGTTCATAACATTATTTTATTATCCTTTTAATTTCTATGGGAACTGTAGTGATGTTCCTTCTTTCATTTATGTTAGTAATTTTTGTCCTCTCTCTTTTTCTTAGCCTGGCTAGAGATGTTTTTATTTTGTTTATACATACATATATTTTTAAAAACTGCTTTGGATTGTATCGATTTTGTCTACTCATGTCCTGTTTTCAATTTTATGATTTCTGCTCTAATTTCTATTATAGTTTTTCTACTGCTTATTTGGAGTTTAATTTGCTCTTCTTTTTCTAGTTTCTTAAGGTAGACTCTCAGGAGATTGACTTTAGATCATTTTTTAATATATTCATTCAATGTTATAAATCTTCTTCTAAGCGTTGCTTTCACTACATCCCATAAATTTTGTTAAGTTGTTGTAATATTTTTGATCCTTTGGAATGCCATGGGATAATGGTACTCTTACTCTGCTATGTTTAGATCCCTGGGTACTCATACTCATGTCCTCATACTCCAGACTTCAAGAAAATATCATATTTGCTCTTCTTTTTTTCTTCCCCTGTATATACTCTCCTTTCTTCAGGTCACTTCTCCTTGCTACAACAATTGCTTTCTAATTCCTAGGCCACTTCTCTGAGCTCATGATAAAAAGAGAGAAATAGTTGTGGTAGAAGTAACATCGTAGGTATCAGAAAAGCAACTCTGGGCTGGTTCTGGCATACTCCTCTTAACCTTGAAATTATTGGCAACGATAGACATCCCAAGAGGTAATATTGGTAAGAAAATATTCATGGTTATTTATGTGAAAAGAGAGTGATAAGAGAATACTAAGAAGGTCATATGACTATATCAAATGAAGGAGACTAAGGATAGCTTAGTGATTGGAAAGGGGGTGGCAGAAGCACTGTTTCTGTGGTGGATAATCAGTTTTTGCTTTCTTCATCATTTCTAGGTTGTGCAGATTCTGATTGCCCTGATGAGCCTTAGCATGGGAATAACAATGATGTGTGTTGCATTTAGTGCTTATGGACATTACCCTATTTCCGTGTATATCGGGTACACAATTTGGGGGTCAGTGATGGTGAGTAGAGTATCTTTTGATATAATTGAAGATAACATAAAGCAGTTGTCAATACCCTGATCCTTGGAATCCTATTCTAACTGTATCTTGTAATTCTGCAAATCTGAGAGTGGTATCTAACCATTTCTTACTCAATTTTCTCATATTTAAAGTACTACTGATAGTATTATATTAAATCTAGGTAGATTAAATATTTATATATATCCGTTAGATATACCACAGCAGCACATTGCCAAAGACCCAAACCAGAATGGCTTAAACATTGAAAGCACTGATTAGTTCACAAGATTAGTGGCTTGTCATTTCTAGGATTGCTTCATTCAGTGGTGCAAGGATTTCATCAAGGATTGCTAGCCGACCGTATCAGAGGGGAGATGGTTGACACATCCAACTTTTGGTAAATATTTTATATACATATTCCCAAATCAGCTGTCAGTAAGGACAACGAACTTGCCATTATTGGCTTGGACTAATCAAGATTTACCTCTGTAGCTGGGAGGAGTCAACCCTACCTTTAGCTCATGAGAAACTGAACAAAACAATGGTTTGCTTAGCAAGGAGGAAGAGGAGATATGGCTGGTACACAAGCAGTTTCTCATATCTAGTCTATTGACTATCAAAACTCAGGAAATTGTTACCTTAGAAAATGAAAATGTTATTTGATATATTTTATTTCATAAATTCAATAAAAATAACTATAATTATTATAATTAATATTAAATTAATTATAACTATTATTAAATTTAAAAACTTTTTCCCAAGAGAAAACACAAGATAGTTTTAATGCAAATTGAAAGTAAAATTGAGAATAAAATACCAAGTTTTATCCACTGATAAGAGAAAAATAAAATGTATAAGTTGGGTTTACGTTAGAATCAGGGAATCTATTCTAGCATTGCAGGTTTCCATTTATTTCTAAAACTAAGAATGAAATAGTTTAGAGTTTTATAGTAGAGCTTGCTCTTTGCTCCCCTTCGCCTGTTTACAGCAGAAGTGCAAGATTGGAAGAACAGTAAAGCTGTGCTTTACTTTTAGAAAGTTGCACAATACTTCATATATCCAAAAATACTAATGCCAATAACAGCTCTTATTAAACTCTTACTATCATGTGGATACTTTACTAAGTGCTTTATATGTGCAGTTTCATTTCAAACAATCACCACAAACTTCTGATTTTTCATTATCATCATTTTATGGATGAAGAGAGGTTCAGTAACTAACCCAAGATCACAACTGTTTGGTACAGGAATGAAGATTCAAATAGGGTCAGTGTATTTTCAGAATTGCATACATCTGACCACTTAGTTTTCTGCTTTGATTTCCATTTCCTTTTCAAGATCACATTAAAAAACCAGCTTACGTGGTGCAAGCCTTCCACATATGTTCAGTAGATTACCAGGAACTGCAGGAGCCATTTGTCCACTGAGACATCACTCAGACTCTTGTAGGTGTTCCATGAGATGAGCCTTTACTTAATTGGTGAAATCTTTTCTGCAGCTACTTTCCATTATTCTTTCAACCTTTTTTTCCATATCTCGTCTGTAAAGTGCCTCCTTCTAATCTTTTATACAGTATAAGTACCAATAGCAAGAACCAGTCACAAGTTCCTCTTATTTTTGGCCTCTTCAGTTCTGTTCCTGTATGTTTCACATTCCTCGTTTTTTCCTCTGAGATAGTGTGTACATATTTTTTCCTGTGGTAAATGAAGTCCTCTTATTCAATCCTATCTTCAAATACACAGACATACATACACACTCCTAATGTGTATATATAATTTCTGTATATAATGTTTTTCCAAGGTGCCTTATTGAATTTTTAAAGTAGTTTATGGTAATTTTTAGTTCATATTCTTGAATGTTTGCAATATATATTGTTCGTACTTAAATAAGAATAGTTTTAACCATTTGTTCCAACTATTTTTCTTATATAATTATTTTGGTAAATATACCCAGAATAGTATTACATAATAGTCAGCATCTTTATCTTGATTTTGACTTTAATGAAATGGTCCTACTTTTTTTTCATTAAACATAATTAAAGACCCTTAGACCAAGCTAGATTTCTATCATGTTACAGAAATTATAATTCTTCATATTTTACCAATAATGTTGCAGTTACTAATATCAAATTGTATTAAATGTCCTGTCCTATCAACACTGTAAATGTGAATAGCAATTAGCATGTAATTTTTTCTTAAATTCATTAATTGTATAAATTAGAATATTTCAATGTTAAAAAATGTTTCTAGAGCTGAAGGAATATCCCAAATGTTCATGATGTATTTTACATCATATGATGGGTAATTCCCTCTAGCGTTTTCATTCCAGTGGTGATTTAGATAATATGAATCATCCATATGTCTGGGTATTTGGAAGTTAGTTAAATAAATTTATTGAGCTTTTTATTAGTTCAATATTTTTTATATTATAATTTTTGAATCATCTGAAATCAAATTTGAAAAGCAAATAAAAAATTCCAGCAATTGAATACTATAAGGCAGAGAGTCTAACCAACTTGACTAGCTATTTTAGCTAAAAAATAATTGCCTTATTGATGGAATCAAATGAACCAGTATGTTCTAGTCAACATCTAATTGGGAATTTACATTTTTTGCTAGTATTTTACTTATAACTTTAAAAATACTCTAAATGAGAACAATTTTAGTGTATTTTTTGTTTAAATATCATTATCAATTTTGGTACCGTGTAAGAACTACTTTGTGTCAGAAGTTTGGAAACTTTATCTCTTAGTGCCCTCAAACAGTTTTTTAATATCATTTCAGTTAGATGTTATTTGAAAACCTTGATAAATTCTCCCATGGTTTTATCTGGTATAATTTCTCTGTTCTTTCTGGGAAAAGGGAAAATAATGTGCAAACCTTTGTGATTTTGTCTAAGATAATTGGTCTGATTAACATACCTATCTAATTTAGAATTAAGTTTAGTAAGTTATGACTCCCAATACTGGTTTAAAGTTTTTTACCTTCATTTTTTCTCTCATTTTTAGTTTATTATTTCAGGATCCTTGTCAATTGCAGCAGGAATTAGAACTACAAAAGGCCTGGTGAGTAATATTTTCTTTTTTTTTTTTTTGGTATCAAAAAAAGGAAGGATTAATAAAAAATGTATTCTGCCAGGGTGTAAAATAGATTTTGTTTCTTTGTTTGTAAAAACTCAGGAGCAATTGTGCGTTTTACCTACTAAAATCTGCCTTTCAAAAATTGCAGTCAGGCTAATTACTGACATAAGACTGGATATTTTGGCAAGGTAGGGAATCTTACCCTTGCGAAGGAATCTTTTTGAAGATATAGAGAATTATTGAGAAGAAATATCAAGCAGGACCACTCCAGCAACACCCTGCGGCAGGAGTCAGCCCATGACAGTGACACCAAGCATCGATGTGGCGTCATATTTACTGACCCATTGATTATAATGTAGATTCCAACTGTATCCAAAAAGGATTTTGAATTTTCAATAAAAGAAATTCACAATAAGGTTATTACACAAGAAGCAAATTTAAAATGTAACTCTCATGCCAAGATGCCTTTCATAAAGCCAATACAATGCGAAAGTCCATATCTCAATAAATGTTTTTTTCTTGTTAAAGTCCATATTCGAGTTTTCTTTGTTCAAAAGATAAATATCAAATTCTGGAACATGATCAATATGTGATTTTCAAATCTGGCCTAACCCAACTCCCTAGTGTCCCCTCCAGCTGCAGCCACATGACACATACTCCTCACACTTTGCTGTGCAAGTTATTTTTTCTTTTTCTTTTCTTTTCTTTTTTTGGTTTCTTTTTTTGTTTGTTTTTTGGTTTTTTGAGACAGAGTTTCGCTCTTATTACCCAGGCTGGAGTGCAATGGCGCCACCTCAGCTCACCACAACCTCCGCCTTCCAGGTTCAAGTGATTCTCCTTGCTCAGCCTCCCGAGTAGCTGGGATCACAGGCATGCGCCACCACGCCCGGCTAATTTTTGTGTTTTTAGTAGAGACAGGGTTTCTCCACGTTGCTCAGACTGGTCTCAAACTCCTGACCTCAGGTTATACACCCCCACTCGGCCTCCCAAAATCTGGGATTACAAGCATGAGCCACTGCGCCCAGTCAGCAATTTTAGTTCTTATTAAAAGCCTCCTTACCTTTATCCATGAGAAGAGAATGTACAGAAAAGAACATACTGCTGAGAGAGAGAATATACAAAAGGTATAGAGGCATGACAAACAAGCAGCATTTAGAAAAATGATAAGAAGCCGGGCGCAGTGGCTCAGGCCTGTAATCCCAGCACTTTGGGAGGCCACAGTGGGTGGAATCACGAGGTCGGGAGATCGAGACCCTGGCTGACACGGTGAAACCCCGTTTCTACTAAAAATGCAAAAAATTAGCCGAGTGTGGTGGTGGGCACCTGTAGTCCCAGCTACTCGGGAGGCTGAGGCAGGAGAATGGCATGAACCCGGGAGGCGGAGCTTGCAGTGAGCCGAGATTGCACCACTGCACTCCAGCCTGGGTGACAGAGCAAAAAAAAAAAAAAAAAAAAAAAAAAAGAAAAGAAAAAAAAAAAAGAAAAAAAAAAAGAAAGAAAAATGATAAGAAATCAGGCTTCAGAAGCAAGGAATGGCAGGGAAGGACACAGACAGGGCTGTCCAGCTACAGTGTGAAGGACATTGAAAACCCTGCTAAAGAGATTTGGAGATTATCTTATGTGCCCAGAGGAATCATCTGAAGAATTTAAGCTAGGGGATAATGAGATCATGTTTGTGTTTTGGCAAGAGATTAGAGTTGAAACCACAAGATAAGTTAGAAGACTATTGAAATAATCAAGATAAAGATAGATGGCAGTAAGAAAGAAACGGTGGGTATAAAGTGATTCATGGAGATATATTTGAGGATGTTGTTGGATTGTTTAATTGATTTTCATTCCTTTCTAGGTCCGAGGTAGCCTGGGAATGAATATCACCAGCTCTGTACTGGCTGTATCAGCAATCTTAATCAACACAATTAGCTTGGCGATTTATTCATTTTATCACCGTTACTGTAACTACTATGGCAACCCAAATAACTGTCACGGGACTGTGTCCATCTTAATGGTTGGTGCTACCTCTTTTCAGGGGATATTATCATAGAAGCAAGTTTGGGGAGTGCAGGCTCTGGCAACAACAATAATTAATAATCCCTAATTGCTGAATGACTGGGAAGTTGGAGTAATTAAGAAATAAAATAATCTTTCATTTAGGATTTAGGTACGTGTCTCATCTCTGTCTCTATTCTTCTATATGTGATGAGGCAAAATGGGAAGAAAGCTTATAGTTATAGAACACCTACTCATTAATAGTTACTGTGCTGGGTATTTTGTATAAATTTTTCTGTTCAATTTTAAAACATTGATGCAGTATGTACTGTTATCTCCTCTAAAACTGGGGCCCAGATGTCAGTTCCTGTTCTCTAATAATGAAGTAAAATTGTCTTGAACAGTATTTTACAAGTGTCAAGTAACTCAGTATCCTTTCCAATATCTTTGGATGTTCTTGCAAGGTTAACCACTTTTATCCTCAACATCTAGCTCCTGATAAGTGCTTAATCTTCATTCTGAATTTTACTACTTTTTTGTACCATTTTTTCTTTTCTTAATGCTATCCTAATTGCTTTATTCTGAAAATGCCACCTACACAGTATTTTGTAGGTAGTAAAACTTCTTGACATTTTGGGCCATTGGGTAATTGTGGGGAGGAAGAGTTCTTCCAGCACATCACAGCAGACTAAAACGCACAATTAAATCTTTATTATTAAAAAGCCTGACCAGGCGCCGTGGCTCACGCCTGTAATCCCAACACTTTGGGAAGCTGAGGTGGGCGGATCACCTGATCCGGGAGTTCAAGACCAGCCTGGCTAACATGATGAAGTCTCGTATCTACTAAAAATACAAAAACTAGCCAGGCATGGTGGCATGTCCTGTGATCCCAGCTACTTGGGGGGCTGAGGCAGGAGAATTGCTTGAACCTGGGAGGCGGAGGTTGCAGTGAGCCGAGATGGACCCATTGCACTCCAGCCTGGGCAACAGAGCAAGACTCCATCTCACAAAAAAGAGAAAGCCTATTGGTCATTTTTCAACACCCGCAAATTTTTTGTTACTTTCCCTCTATATGAACTTTCAGCCTTTCGCCTTGCTGCTTAGTTCTCTTCCTTACTGTGTCCTTCCCTTATGTAAACGTGGAAACCCAGCATTCTTCCTTACTAGGCAGAATCAATCGCATTCTGTTGACTTCATTCCTAGCTAATTCTACATAGTTTTGTGGGCTATATAATCACACCAAAATAACCCCTTGAGGTGTCTTTGCTAAACTAATTTACTTCCCCTGAGATTTCTAATGCTTTTTGTAGTAAGCAATTTTACGTCTTGCCACTCGGTCACAATAAGAAAAAGCTTCTATAGAGAATTTGACAAATTCTTTCAAGGTCATTCAGTTAGAAATTGGCAAAAAGATTAGATTCTACAACTTCTTGTCTCTAATTCCCCTATTATTTGCTATTGTTATCCTGAAGAAGGACCTTAATTTTAGTTTATGAAGGTCACTTCATTGGTAGATTTTGAGGACACAATGATAGAGACAAAATCTGGAATTGGCCAACTCGATAGGGCTGATTTCTTGGGCATGGGACCCGCGCAGTTACTCAGGACTTCATGGTTCAAAGAGCCCTGTGCTTGATCTAATGCTCTGCTGTTGCTATCTTGATTTTTTTTTTTTTAATTTTAATCAAGAGACTCTAAATTACGTAACTGGTTCTGCGTTCATCTCAATTACATTTCCCAGAGTCCATGATGAATTCCTGTTAATTGTGTGAACACTTTTATGCCTGTTTTTATAGCAGAGGAACTCCATAAGGGCTTCCTGGGATTTGAAGCAATGGTTCTATTCTTGCCTGGGCACCTGCACAATCAGTCCACAGGTCTATATACATGCTACTTTTTCTGGAGGCCCAGCCCTGTACCTGTTTTTGTAAATAAAGTTTCATAAATAAAGTTTAATTGAAATATAATGAAGCCCATTTGTTTACATGTTGTGTAGTGATGCTTTTGTGTTATAACAGCAGGTTTGAATATGTGTGACAGAGACCTTATGGTCTGCAAAACCTACAATGTACATTATCTGGCCTTTATGGAAAGCTTGCCATCTTCTAGTCTACCCTTCTAGATGGTAAAATCCTTGAAGACAGGGGAACTGTCTGTTTAGTTTGCTGCTCTCTTCTGTGCCTACAGCAATGTTGGAAACACAGAGGCCACTAGAGCTGTTGAAGGCACAAGAAAATAAAAAAGCAATGAATGCAAATATTCTCAAGGTCTCCTTAAGTCTGCATCACTCATATCCTGAGCTCTTGGTCTATTGGCTCTTCCACAACAGAGGGACTATCCCTAACCATGGAGAGAAAAAGAGAGAATAATCCCTGCATCAATCCAGGGTAAAATGAATAGAAATGAGTGCACTGCCCAATGTTCTCCGAATTTTGACCATGTTTCTTGGCTGAAGACTAGACCTAAAGTCAGTGCTCTGAAGAGATGGATTAAAGACTGACCTACTTGATATTCATCGTTGTATTAGCTTCTTACTGTTACTGTATGTAACAAATTACTACAAATTTAGTGTCTTAAGACAACACAGTTTGGTTATCTTATATTTCTGCAGGTCAGAAGTTCAAAGTGGGTCTCACTAGGCTAAAATCAAAGTGTTGGCAAGGGCGTACTCCTTTCTGAAGGCTTAGGTGACAATAAGTTTTATTGCCGTTTCTGGCTTCTGTAGGCTGCCTATGTTGCTTGGTTTGTCATCTTGTCCTCTACCTTCAAATCAAGCATTGCAGCATCTTCAAATGTCTCTTGAACTCTATTCTGCCTCTTGCTTCCACTTCTAAGGATTCTGTCATTATGCTGAACCCACCTGAATGATCCAGGAAAATTAGCTTATATCAACTAATAAGCAACCTTAATTTCATCTGCAAATTTAATGCTTTTTCTTACGCAAAAAGAACAATGGTCCCCGAGGGAGGTCTGCATTCTAATCCCCAGAAGCGAAGGATTAGGGGGACAAGGATGCAGACCTCCCTGGGGGACCATTACTCTGCTTACAATCACTAAGATATGGAATCATAATATTCTGTCAATGATACGAGTTTCTAGTACTCAATAGGATAAGATGACAATTATCTTTATACTACCTTCCCAACTTTTTAAAACACTTTCATCTTCCATGTCCACAATAGCACTGGGAGGTACTGAACCAGGGAATAAACGTCTGTGATTATTTTATCAGTGAAAAAAGTGAGAAGTTACTTCAGCAGATCAAGAATTGGTCAAGGGAATGGCTGCCACTAGGAGGCAGGTCTCCTGACTCCCAACCAGTGCTTTTTCTCTGATGACATTGTGGTTACTGGTAAATGTTTCTACTTGTCATCTCCATTTCTCACATTCTTTTGTTATGAGTTTTCTCCTAGGGTATGGATGGCATGGTGCTCCTCTTAAGTGTGCTGGAATTCTGCATTGCTGTGTCCCTCTCTGCCTTTGGATGTAAAGCGATCTGTTGTACCCCTGGTGGGGTGAGTATTGGCCTTCATTTGAAGATTTCTGTATTAGTTTTCTATTGCTGTGTAATCACTTACACAAACTTAGAGTCTTAACACAGAACACATTCATTATCTCTCAGTTTCCATGGTTCAAGAGTCTGAGCCCAGCTGAAGTAGGTCCTAGACTCAGGATCTTACAGGGCTGTCATCAGGAAGTTGGCTGGGGCTGTGGCCTTGCCTGAAGCTTCTGATTCTCTTCCACGCTAATGTGGAATTCATTTCCTCTCAGTTGGAGAACTCATGAAAATGTATTTTATCTTTGAAACCAGCAGGCTGCTAATGCTTTAATCCTCTCATAAAGGGTTCACACAAACGGGTAAGGTCCATTCAGAATAATGCCTTCTTTGATAAATTGAAAGTTAAGTAGTTAGTACCTACACACAGGACTTGTATCTCATCCTATACACAGGTTCCATCCACACTCGAGAGAAGGGAATCACAAGGGGTCAGTGAGTGCCACCTTAGAACTCTGCCTAACACAATAGCTACATAAAAGCTCTTTTCCCCTTTCCGTCTACCTCAAAGTGCATAACCGCTGAATCCAGATATGAGGATATTTCACAATGAAGAGGACCCCCAAAAATATTTTATTTTATTCCATTATCCTATTACAACAATTTTTCCTGGAATATTTCCATGAAATATCTTGATCTCAGACTTCTCTATCAGGCTGTGCCCACCTACCCACTCTCTTACCCTGAGACCTGCAGCTGATGCTGCTCCTGGCAGCTAAACCCAAAGAATGTCACACGGAGAGAGGAAAGTAGGGAATGGAAGGAAAGAAGAGACCAAGAAAGAAGCTCTAGGAAGAATGGGGAGGGATATCCTCCAAGGGTTGAGGTTGCCAGAATGAGGAAATGGATAGTAAAACCCCAACAGCTACTCATTAGCTTCATTACACAAAGGCCCACAGGCAGACAAAACCGACAACCAAATAATAAAATAATCATACATAATCATAGTTTGATGAGATGGTTCTTCTGGTGCCTTTCTCCGTCATCTTGTACCTCTTTGTCTTCTTTTGAGATTCCCAGGCAACACCACATCCCACTCCTCTACAGCCCTTCCTCACTGAAGAGAGATTGACTATAGCACATTAACTCTAATAGTGGGTTTTGCATTGTAAAACCTGAGAAGTGAGAGATTCTCAGCAATTACCAATGATTTTCTAATTTCATTGACCAAAGCTTTTTATTTTTAGTGGGTGAAACATTTGGACATGGAAGCAAACTCTTTAGTAACTTTCATGTCAGAGTATTTAAGCCTGTGCTCCCTTCGGCTCTTAGCATAGGAGCTGGGGAATGTTGTTTCCTAATCTCTTGGTGTGAATTCAGAAAAGCAGTGGTTTGGGGGCCTATGATAGCTAGGTCTCTATCTCTTCCTGTTTCTTCCACCAACCCTATGTGACAATGAGTTTGTGGAAGAACAACCAGAACTTTTCTGAGTTTCACGATGATCCCTGCTATTCTGGGCCAGTGTGGTTTTTGCAATGCGTTATTTATAACCAGCAAATCATGATTTGGGTATGTTGATGCCATCAGCATGAACAACCTCGTTTGGAAGAACAACCTCATAGCTTTCATGACACCTTGGTTTACCCAATGTATTGTGCACTGTCATCCACATATAAGACTGATTTACTCATAAGACCAGGGCAGTGGTCATCAGCAGCTCGGGTCAAGAGCTACCACTGAATGTTGTCTCCTAAATCAGGCCTGATTTAAAGAATGACTGAGAAGCCCCACATGCTTGATCTTGAGAATGAATCAGAGAAGAAAGAGTAAACTCTGAGGATGATGACTTTATGTGGGCAGGAAAGGGGCACTCTGAGGTTATTTGGGTGACTCGCCTATGGCATTCTGATTGTTTCACAGGTTGTGTTAATTCTGCCATCAAATTCTCACATGGCAGAAGCAGCACCTCTCACACCACTTAATGAGGTTTGAGGCCACCGAAAGATCAACAGACAAATGCTCCAGAAATCTATGCTGACTGTAACACAAGAACCTCACATAAGAAATTACCAGAATCCAACTTTGATACTGAGAGACATATTGATATCATTATTATATGTAATCCAATTATGAACTGTGTGTGTATATATAGAGAGATAATAAATTCAAAATTATGTTCTCATTTTTCCCCTGGAACTCAAAAATTCATTTCACTGGCTCTTTGTCGAGAGTACTAGACGTTAAATTAATAAATAATGCATTTAATGAGGCAACAGTACTTGAAAGTTTTTCATTCATCGTAAGAACTTTATAGGCATTAAATAAGGCATTAAATTGGCAAATAAGATCTGGAAGCAGAAAAGCAAAAAAGGTATTGCTAAAATGAGGCCTCCATGCAAAACACATACTTCTGCTCCCCTGTATAATATTCCTCCCATTTATTTAACTTTTTTCTGCTCCCACCTATGGGGACCAAAGGGCCTTTTCCTTCGGAAGTGGAGATACGTGGCCATCTCCCCCTCCCTTTTTCCTCTCCTTCTGTTCTTCCCCCATAGAAAGTACTTTGAAATAGCACAGTCCATCCTTGCATGTGCACAAGCTATCATTTGAGTAAAAATATACATGGAGTAAAAATCACATTAAGCATCAGATTCAACTTATATTTTCTATTTCTTCTTCTTCCTTTCCCTTCTCCCACCTTCTACTGGGCAGAATTATATCTTAATCAAATTTGTATCCTATGCCATATATGGAAATGTGCAACATATGATATTTGTTAAATACATTTGTTTTTATTGCAGAGCAAAAATAAATAAAATGAGAAGCAATACTTTCATGTGCTACCTACTTCCTTTTCAGATGCAAAATGGTGGAAAGAGACTAAGTGTTGATGTCAAAAATACAGTGTGGTGCTAAATAATGTGGGCTTTCTAATCAGACAACCCAGGGTTTTTATCTTGCTATCCCATCTTTGTTGTTTACTACCTATGTAGCTATGAACATGCCACCAAATTTCTCTGTACTTCATATTTCTTTTCAGGAAAGTAGTAATAATATTGTCTGTCCTATAGACCTATGATACTTGGTATCGTATGATATGATACTTGGTATAACAAAGGTAGAAAAACCAGGACTCTGATTGGCACATATGGAGTCTCAAAGATAATGTATGTGTTATATCTTTGCATATAATTTCTTTATATTAATTATATATATGATATAATTACTTCAACATATAATGCATAGATATGTATTTTATATATCAAGTTATTATATTCAGCTTTCTTGCTATAAAATTATGTTTTATTTTAATGTCACAATCTCATAATTATATTTATGACATCATATTTTTAATTTCTTGGGAAAGTTTTTCTTATTCCAGCTTTAAAATATATTATTTTGTATTTTCTTCCCTTGCTTAATAATTTTGTCTCTGGCATTTATTTTTATGAATATTGTTTAATATTGTATATTGAACATATTTTTCATATTATTGGCAATTAAGACTATACTACTTAATGTAGAGCTCATCATCACCTCACTGACATTAACTGTTAATGTTTTACCATGTCATAAAGAGATATTGGTCTATTTATGTACCTAATTCCAATCTTTTAATTATTGTGTATGTGCTGATATCTTGTTTTATTTCTCCAATATTGTACTAATATTTGACAGATTTTGGTACTCAGCATTTATTCCCCATTTGTTCTGACAATGACAGTCTGATTTCCTCCAAAAAAATCACCATTGTCTAATTCTTAATTTATGTACAAGGGTGGAGCTCACTCGACTCCCAGCTTCAGGAGTTGACCTGTGTCCTACATCTGGGAAATGGCAGAATTACATCAACTCAGCTAGAGTGAAGTTCTGTGGTAGCCTTGTGACCTAGGAAAAACCAATTGTGTGAATGACTGACACATTTCCAATCAAAATTAATCTCATCATTTTCACTTCAGTGACCAAGAAATGGTCTCCCCATCTTTCCTCTTTCCTGTTGGGTTTGGAGCTGTGAGGAGGTAAGTTTGCTGCCATCAGCAGCCATATGAACCCCGTGACAGACAGATGCTCACAGGCAAAAGCAGAACTGAGAAGTGCCAAGTGAAAGATCAGACCCTAATGTAATTCTTTTGAGTCTCCAAGTCAAGTTTTACCTGGAGTTAACCCGATCCCTGGGGTTTTAAATATATAAAGACAAGGAAAGAGATTTATTCAGATAGTGTAATAACTGGGCAAAATCCTTCAATGGCTTCCTCTCTAATTCAGAATAAAAGCCAAAGCTCATGTAAATCCTACAAGTCCTTACATCACCTGATTCTTTGTTGTTTTTTGGATTTTTAAAATATCCTGACTTAAATCCTGATATATTGCTTTGAGAGTGCCTTCTCTTGGTAATAATTAGTGCATACATAATTTTCTTAAGTTTAACACTTATATAAGCAACCTAAGATTAGTGCATTTTTAGCTGTAAAAAGTTCATGCAAATATTTTGTGCTATTAGTGCAAGATATTATGATTCCAACTTTTAGACAAGACCACCTGCACTTGTTTCATGTCATGTGATTTGAAATTTATTCTTCATTTGGTTATTCTTGGTTTTATCTATATGTGACTAGAAAGCAGTAGGAAAATGTCCATGAGACTTTGCCTCCTTTTGCTACATTTACAATAAAAATAATTTTTGGTGTTTTTTTTTTTTTTTTTTTTTTTGCTGTTGTTGTTGTTGTTTGAGAGAGAGGGTCTGGCTGGGTTGTACGGGCTGGAGTGCACTGCAACCTCCACCTTCTGGACTTAAGCCATCCTCCCACCTCAGCCTCCTAAGTAACTGGGACTACAGGTGTGCACCACCATACCCAGCTAATTTTTCTATTTTTTGTAGAGATGGTGTTTCACCATGTTGCCCAATTTGATTCCCTGTCTGCTTAATGATTGCAAGTGGCTGCTCTGCTAGGTTGAAGTTGGGCCAAGAATTACCTTTGTAGTGGTTGGTATGGTAGGGATGGTATGGTTAAAGTTGAACTCATTATTGAGGGAAGTATCTTGGGACCGTGCTTTGCCTTGTAAATAATTGGGGTGGGGGGGAAGAGTTATAAGGTCTTGAATATATAAGGTGATCTTATTGATAACTTCAAACTATAAGTAGTCAAAGCTCTTCAGGTAGATGCAAGATATTTGTGACTAAAAATGATTTTTTAAAAAACATCTTAATCCAGTATTTTTTTTTTTGTCTTAGACTCACTGAGGCAAAATGAAGCCTGAATTCACGCTAAGTTAAATTTGTGTTATCATATATTTCTGTCCCCTTTCTCCTCTAAAATCTAATTTCTCTTCTCTACCAGTCCTAAATATCAAAGATTATAAGAAAAGTAAGGATAATTAAAGGTTAAATAATATTGAGGCTTGTGTATTTTTTCAGCCAATGATAAAGAAATGGGCAATCAATAATGAGCAATTGGTTAGTGTACTATAATCAGCATTGCTGCAAAAACTGCTATCTATTGAGAAAACATGCATCCAACTATTAAAAGTAATTTATGTTTATAAAATCAAAGTAAGCTCACTCATAAACGTAAGAGAAGTCTCAAAGGGCTCATTGTTTTAACAGTGATAATAGGTATTTTTACATTTGAGGTTGTAAAATGATAATACTGAATACTGTATGCAAAGTCAGGGGGCAAATCAACATTTCTAACAGTGATGTGTCACCCTTACATTACTCAGTAAATTGGATCATAGACCATGGAACAGTTTGGGGAAGAATCATCTCGGGTGTGCCCAATGACCATTAGAAATCTGTAGTTTATCTTAAATTAACTATTTTTTAAATTTGCCATTTTCTACAACTCTTATTTTTCCTGATTCTGAGTCCTAATCCCATAAACTTGCAATACTCTATGGAAAGGATTTCAAGAGAGATATACTTTTATCTTTAATAAAACCATGAATTACACCAGAAGGAAGGAAATAAAGAGTTGAAGGTCACGGCTGTGGCTGCTGAAGTAATCGATGCATTTTATCTTAATACTTGACTAGAAATTTCCTGTATCTTCATTTCGTATCTTATTATGAATCTTCATCATTAAAATGTATGATAGCTTTATGGTAGGTCTTGAAATCAGGTAGCATATGTCTCATATTATTTTTCTTCATTAACAAAATTGATTTGGTCATTCTAAGTCTTTAATTATTTCATGTAAATTCTGGAATTACTTCATCAACTTTGTAACTTCATCAACTTTGCAATCCAAAAAGACCTTCTTGGATTTTGATAAAGAAGGTATTGAGTCTATATAGGTCTATAAGGGAAAACTGCCAACTTAACAATACTGAGTTTTCTAATCCATTAACAGAATATACCTATTTATTTATTTATTTATTTATTTATTTATTTATTTTTGAGAGGGAGTCTCGCTCTGTCAACCAGGCTGTAGCACAATGATGCAATCTCGGCTCACTACAACCTCTAACTCCTGGGTTCAAGTGATTCTCTCACCTCAGCCTCCAAGTACCTGGGATTACAGGCATGTGCCACCAAGCTAGGCTAATTTTTTGCATTCTTTTAGTAGAGACGGGGTTTCACCATGTTAGTCAGGCTAGTCTTGAACTCTTGACCTCAAGTGATCCACCTGCTTTGGCCTCCCGAAGTGCTGGGTTTATAGGCATGAGCCACCACTCCCAGCCTATTTATTTAGGTCTTCATTAATATGTCTCAGCAAGGTTTTGTCATTTTCTGTTAACAACCAGAAGTTCCTTTGACATTCATTCCATTGATTTTTTTTCTGGTACTGAATTTTCTCAGATTTTTTGTTTGTTGTCTGAATACATCTTTATTTTACCTCCAGTTTTAATATTTTCACAGGATATTGATCCTATGTTACAGCTTTTACCTTCAAGTACTTTAATGATGTCTTTTAATTGTCTTTTGGCTTACATAATGGCTTATGGGCAGTCTGCAATTATTCTTACCTTTATGCTAATGTGTCTATTCTTACCCTCTGCTTTTAACATTTTATTATTCATTTTTAGCAATCTAAATTATGCTTTGGTGTGGTTTTATTTTTGCTCATCCAGCTTGTGATTGATTAGTTAAGCTGTTTGCATCTGTGGGTTTATACTTTTTATCAAATTTAGAAATTCCAATGATTTATTCAAATATGTTTTCAATTCATTCTCTCTTCCTCTTGTTGGATTCAGATTACATGTTAGACCACTTCATATTGTCCCACTGATGTTTTATTAATCTTTCTAGACTTTTTTTCCTAATCTTTGCTTCAGATTAGAGATTCTATATCCATCTTCCAGTTTACTAACCTTTTCTTCTGGAAGATTTAATGTGTTGTTAATCATAGGCAGTGATTTATTCACTTCATGTATTGTGGTGTTTATCTCTAGAAGTTCTATTTGGTGCTCTTTTGTATTTTTCATTTTTATACTCTTTGCATCCATGTATTTCTAGGAATTCTTATGCATGATTATAATATATATTCTAAAGCACTTCTCCTTTGTTGTAATCTATAATTTACAGGTCTGTTTTTATTAATTTTTCTCCTGGCTATTTGTTATTGTGACTTTTCTGCTTCTTGGCATGTGTAGTAATTTTGGATTACATGCTGGATATTATGATTTTTATTTGATTGAGTGCTCAAATTTTTCTTTTTTCACAATGTATTACTTTTATTTCTTGCAGGAGCTTAAACTTGAAGACCAATTTGATTCTTCTGAGACTTTTGAAAAGGCATAATACGGAGGGTGTATTAGTCCCTTCTCATATTGCTATAAAGAACTACCTGACACTGGGTAGTTTATAAAGAAAAGAGGTTTAATTGACTC